TGTTGAGCCTATTTGATGTAGGGAGGGTCCATGAAAACCCATTGGAAAACTTGCTCATACTGAACGGCAGCGTTTTGCCAAGAATAGTTTTGGCTCATTCCCCTTTTCATCAATCCTTCCCATGACTCTTTATACTCTCTGTACGTTGCTGCAGCCAACCTCAAAGCCTGAAGTAGTATATCACACGACAGGGTCATTTTTGTTAAACGAAAATCCGAAAACATAACCACAACTCTTGAAAGAGAGATGGGGAGTTCGATAAAACTTACCGACACCATGGCATCTTTCGACAAAGGAGAGAAAACCCACCTGAAACATTAATCCCACAAAGATCCATAAGATCACACAATTATTTTGACTTTGATCTATCGAAAAAAATCTCGAAACAGAATAGTTTATTACCCTGTACCAGCACCAGCTCCACCGTCTGCATAAGGATTGAAATTCTCAACCGTATCCTGAAAACAATTACTCAATTATCAATCGTAATTTTTTAACTACCAAACCATTCATGATTCTGATCACAGTTTGATTTTGTATTTATCCAGGTTCTTGAAGATTTTTAAAAAAACTCACTCTGAGTCCTCCGGTGCCATGAACGACTGGAATGGTTCCGTATCTCATTGCGTATAACTGATTTAAACCGCATGGCTCGAATCTTGATGGCATCAGAAGAATGTCACAGCTGTTTATAGATTTCAATTAAAAAAAAAAATTCAATGAGATGTTCGTGGCAATTTTAAGGTTTTCTACAACAACTACCTCAAATAAATCATGTGGTGATCCAAGGAATTGATCTCACTAGATAAAGCAAAGATTCGCTTACATGTTTTAACCATATCTTTTGGCAATTGATTAAAGTGTAAGCTAGAGATATTTTTTTCTTTTTATTACCCGGCCGTGATTCGATGAGAGATGGGAACATTGAACCCAACCCAACCGCGGAATTTGTCTCTGTATGTTTCCTCCATACTTCTCATCCAGCTTTCATATTTTGGGTCACCTGAACCAAGCATCACCTGCAAGAAGCCAAACCAAAAAACAGCTGCTAAAGACAGGAGATGACAAATGTGTATCACAGCAGTCACTTGCACTGCGTGGGTTCCAGTTAATCCGTCCAAAAGACTCACTTACGAATTGAATGTCATCCACCATGAGGTCAGGACCAGCGGTTTGGATCAGATCAATGCCCTTCTGGTAATCAAGTCTTCCTATAAACCCAATCTGTAAAAAGTTTCAAGCGGCATGATTATCAGAAAAAGTAGAAGACCATTTAAGAAAAAAGAGTTTGGCTTTTGAAATCACACCATAGGACATTCAGGCCTAATGGGGAGACCCAATTCTTTTTGTAGTGCCATCTTACATTTCACCTGCAATTCCCAAAGCAGACACAAAAAGTCAATTCACCATAAAAAAGCATTCAATTTGCTAGATTTTGACATCTTTACTCAAGTGAAAATCCATATCACCTTCTCGGACAAATTATCAATAGAGTAATGGAAAGGAATGTGTTCATCCGTGGACGGATCCCACTCATCAACGTTAATTCCATTCGTGATCCCTGATAAGCATCGCGGGAATATCAGCTCGAAAAAATGTTTTTAAGTGATAAAAGACAGGGTTTATACTTTATGGGAACAAGTACCATTTATAACACTCTTCCGACTAGAAAGCAAATCTTGCAGACCATATCCACCTTCAACAGTAGTGATTTCCCACGCATAGCCCTGAAAATGCAGAAAGGAAAGCCTAATCAGGATAGACTCACTCAGCTTCTAATTTTGATTTCGTACTGTTAGAGAATGTGGTCACAAAGGGGATTATGTTTACAAAAGATTCATCACCTGGCTCACAGTAATGATACGGTCAGAGGTTACAATAGCACCCTTGAGAACATTAACCGCTTCACCGGTGTCGAGAGCATGAGTTCTTGCCCATGTTGGAAACACCCACCCGACCGCTCCATACCATTCTGATGGCAATCCCAGATTGCTGTAAGTAGCTGCTGGCTCCACTCCCTTTTAGTAAAAAAAAATAAAAACAAGAATATAAATTAATATACAAAACACAAGCTAACACAGCAACACAAGATTGCTTTATACAAAAGTTAACAATGGGGCATTATACAAAAGTTACAACCATATATAAATCACAAGAAGAGATATTACAGCTCTGGAGAATTGCTTTATGCTCTTTACCTGATGAGCGAGGTTATGTATAATGAGAATACTTCTTGCATCCTTATAAACTCCATATGGGCGATACTTTGCAGCCAAAAGTCTGGATCCAAAAGGGATTACACGATATAAGTTTTAAAATACGCAAAATTACCACAAATCAAAGCGCAATTCTGCAATCTGTTCAGGTTAAATCCTAAATTATAAGGTAAAGAGAATAAGAAAAGGTTACATGGGAACAAGTCCGGCATGCCAGTCGTTGACAAGGAARAGAGATTTCTCTCCGTAAGTGAACCCTCCAAGAGGTAGCACAAGAGGGGCTTCACACGCAGCATGGCAAAGTAATGTGAACCGAAACTGTAATCCCGTAAAGAGGTGATATGAGCCACTTTTACAATTGTTAGTAGACAATTAGTAACCAAATTTTTTCTTTTGACAATGTCAATAACGGTAGTTCGATCAACAGTAGTACCTGATTATCACCAAAGGCTCCTTTACTATCTCCGTATGGATTTCCAGGTCTATGGTAGGATTGGTGATCAATAAAAACCTGAAAACAGTTAAAAAAACGACTCGCTAAGCAATGGTGATTGTCAAAACTCCACAAAGACTTAATGCAAGAAGACATGAGCGTTTACCCAATCAACACTGTCTCTATATTCATGATAGAAGGAAACTTCTTGAGAACCTCCAAAGCATTGAACGGTGATCCGCACACCCAAATCCTTAGCCCTTGCATAGTTAGCATCTGCAGATGTTCCATTCAGGTACCGAGGAGAAACAACCATTACACGGTGCCCACGACCAGCCAAAGCTATTGGCAAAGAACCACAAACATCTCCTAACCCTCCTGTTTTCGAGTAAGGAGCCGCCTCAGATGTAACGAAAACGATGTTGTTAATCACTTGGGCTTTTCCACTCGGAATTCCAACTTCAGCAGCTCCTTCTTCAACAGCTCTACTTCCAGGAACACCAAAGTCTGCCATCTCTGCTTCATCAATGACCTCTTTCTTCTCTTCTTGATGTGTAGTTCCTCCACTGCTAGTACTCAACATTTCTTGATCACCTGTAGAAGAAAAATCGATTTATGTTTCGTTAAAAGGGAACCTTTGAAACCTGAGGACCACAAGCAAACATTCAAGAGAATCATTCTCTTTTGACAACAAACATTCGAAGAACAAATATTCAGTGACTGTCACTTAGAACAAGGAACACAAAAATCCCTAAAATTACACACAACAGTGAACAAATTGACTGTTCTAAATCAAATCAAACAGTTTACCAGGAGGAACGAGCTGAAACCCAAGAACAGAGCCAGAACCATCTCTCTCTGCGTCAATCATAAAACCCTTTTCATCATTTTCAGACTCTCCAAATTTGTCGCCGGAGAATGAAGAACGGCGGAGAAACAACGGTCGTCCGATACAGAATCTCCGGCGAAAACGAGGTAAACCCAGACTACCGATCGGACGGAAACATCGACTCCGGTTAAATCCCACGACCGGCTCGAACCTAACCGAGCCACTGATCTGTAGCGAAGCCATTTGATCGATTGGGAAGAAAAGAAAGG